TTTTTTTTTTCCTTGAGAAACGTTAATGCAAGCTTTTGTGCGTTGCCGAGCACCTGTTCCTTTCCCTTGTAGCATTAGCTATTATTTTTCTCCTGGGAATCGCTTATCTCTGTCACTGTCATTTTTCTTCAGAGCTTGTGTGACAGCATAGCTGGAGTTGAGGATAACTTACCAGTTTTTAATTCCTGTGCCTGGCTGATAAGTGGCTAGCGATCTGGTAGGATCCTGAACTGAGCCTTCCTAGAAGGCTGATTTCTTTTTCCAGGCAATTGGAGCAGACTTTTCTTCCTAGATAGCCAGTTCTCAGTGCACATGTTCCTTCAGGAAAATGAGATTTTTTTTTTCCCTTCCAAGGGACAGGAGACAACATTAGGCTCTTATTACACAACTCAGTGCATAACAAAGACCAAATTAATCACACCTAGATAAAGAGTTATCTTCTGTTGTCTCTGTTATGTAAAAATCTTGATGCTTCTAGCAAGTAAATGCCAAGGTGAAGGCAGAGTTGTTTATTTTATAAATGACTGGCACTGAAAGTGATGCTGTTGAAGGGCGGAGAGTTTGCTTTGAACAATGTAGCCAATGGATGTGCCTCAGATCTTGGAGCACTCAGGTAGGTTAACAAAGCTGAATGTCTCTGCCTGTTTAGGCAGTGGCTTTTCCATCTTGTGTTTATCGGAATCATAAGGTTTGCGACCTGTGCGAGTATTTCTCCCCACCTCGGTGTATCACCCATGAAAAGTAGTGGTATCCATCCGTCTGAAAGAAAAAATAAGAGATGAAAGGCTGGTATTTTTACCTTCTCTTTTGTTTTTCCCTAATAGTCACAATAGGAAATGCAAGAAATACCAGGCTAGGTGATACTGAATATAAGAAATATTGGTAGCTTAGTAGCTGTCAAGCAGCTCATTTTGCTGTCAGGCAAGGCTGTCATTTTGCTTGAGAGGATGTGCTGTTGTCTTCTGAGTGGTATTTTTGAGCTATTGAGTTAACAGAAGTTAATATTCAAAATTTCACGTGTTCTGAGCACATGTGGACGTATTCCTTTTATATGTCTGAGGGATTTACAGCATTCTTCAGTACCTGCATGAATTCCCATTTCTTCAAAACAGTAGGTATGTGTGTATCACAAATAAGTTATCTGCAAAAGAACCCTTGGCTGTAAAATAGAAATATTCAGCCCTGCTGCAATGACAGTTGCTTCCCAGGGTCATGTTACAATTAGTGAGCCGTAAGAGTTGTACGCTTGCTGTTTATGACATCAGTAGAGCCTCTCAACTGCTTCATAGTTGCTGCCAGATAAAATACAATACTCTGCATGTTTTTGTAGCTTCCTTTCGTGCTGGAGGAGCCTGTAGGCTATGTAGTCTACTTGTTGTTCCCAGCTGCAAGCGGCCACAGGGATGAAGTGTGATTAGGGCAGCAAAGTTTGCTTCGAAACAGGGCAAAACTCAAATTGCTGATGATCTTGTTCTAAGTTTGTAAATATAGAAGATTGATCAGGGTGACACTGGACTTACCATCTAGTCTGGGAGACTAGGTGAGAAAAATGTCTTTCTGCTTTGTCCAGTATAGTATACGCACTAATGCACAAAGTGCAGAACGTGTCAACGATGAGCTGCTCCAGTAAGCCATGCTGATGCTAAGTAATGTCTTTAGTTAACTCAGTTTTGCAGTTGACTGTCATTATAGAGGTAACTTGGGGAGAAAATGAATCTTCTTTATTTTAATAACAATATGTGAATATATGATATATAATACGCGTTGGGGATAAAAAGTAGAAGTTCGTGTTTGGTCTCTATTCACTGAGGAATGAAACAAGTTTAATTATATGTATACATTTTGTATGTATGGAACTATTAATAGAGGAGATGGAGGTTATGTTGCTATTAGCACTGAGCCAGATGAATAATTTTTTTGAAGATCTGGAATATCAGTGATCCAACTGAAAATGTCTCAGTTGTGATGAGTCATATGTTAGCCTCATTTAGTGACTAAGAAATGGAACAGCCATCGATGTCCGAGCTGAGTCACAGCTTCTGCATGTTTCCTGAAATCATTTTTGATTGATAATGACAGAGAAGTTAAAATTGCTGTATTTGTATTATAATCTGAAGCCTGTAAAATACTGGTATGTATACTGTTTATGAGATCAGACAAATAGCTAGAACAAACCAAAATGGATATGTCATATAGGATGTGTGAATAAGAAACGGTCTCCTGTAATTACCTCCCTTTTAAATTTTTTTTTCTCTATTATAATTATTTCTTCCTTGTGCTGCTATACATGTGCGTCATAAGGAACAAAGCAGAAGTGACCCCTCTGACTTCTTGGCGTTTGTGAGATAACAGCACTTTAAAAAAAGCCAGTAGCAAATAAAAGAAATCCTATGTATAGCAGAAGTAGGACAGTGTATCAATTTTATTCTTAAAGGGAGTTTTGTTCATATATTGTGGGTGTCTCTAGATAAAAAGAAAAGTGTGAGATCTGATCATGAAAAAAAAAAAGTGGAAAGTTTTAAGATTTTAAGGCAACTTGCTGGCCAAGGTAAGAAGAAGGATATGTTTAAGAATATAGAACTCAGTACTCTTCTTACCTGCTCTGTAGTACTTAATTGACTTAAGTAATTATTTTCAGTAGAGACTTGCAATGAAATAGGAAAAACAGTTAAATCAGAAGCAACACCTCTCTAAACTGGAGCATGGAAGACAGTCTGCAAGATTTGGTGTTTTGCAAGGTATTGGACATCCTAGATTGGATGGGACAGAGCAAGGAGAAGAAAGTTGACCACTCCAGTTCTGACAGTGAAAGCAGTCTAGAATACAATATTGTGTCCCCAGCACTTGCCGTGTGTGTGTGTGTGTGTGTGTGTGTGTTATTTTTTGTTTTTTTAAAGGCAGCAAGGCTAAACTGAGAGAGAAGAAAATGTCATTCAAGATCCTGAGAACTGATGTTAAGCAAGTCATTGCAGAGTTAGAAAATTAGATCTAAACATAATCCTATGTTTGATAAACTCTGCTCCCAGAAATGGACAGAAAGTTCAATCTGTGAAGTTCATGCTAATATCCTTGCCTTTTCACAGAAAGGTTCTTGTAGAGCTCCTATGTCAATATGCTGATCCTGGTAATTTGTATCCTTCTGTATCTTAATTTACATCTAGCTCTTGATTTGGGATTGAAAACACACTTATGACTGCAAGGAATTGTGCCCTTTTTCTCACTGGTCCAATTTACACTTACACTTTCCTCTCTGCATATGCCTTTACTTAAAGTTCAAGAATCACTTGATTGAACCCACTACACATCAGAACAAGCTATGCTGGTTTGCACTAATACAAGAAATAAATTATATTTATTCTCTAAAACAATCACTCTTCATAAGACAGGTTGTCCTGTGATATTCTGTGCAGCCAAACTTCCATTTTCCTATATCTGTTTCAAGTTGAATTTTAATGAGGGATTTGATAAGGTTGGATGTCTTGGAGATGGTTACTAAAGTAGCTGTTCATCTTTGGGCCCTGTAGCTTATTCAAAGGGGGTGGGGGGGGGGGGGGGAAGGTTTGCTGGTTACCATAGAATCCAATTGTGCTTTCAGCTCCCTTGTTATTGATAAACCTTGTTCAAATCTGACTTGCATAATAAAATAATTTATTTCTCACCTTATTTGAAAGTGTAGAGGAATGAAACTTCTTGTAGATACACAGATATCTGCATCTTTTTGATAAACTTTAGGTAGCCAAAATGCATGTATGATACAGCAGTGCGGGATATAAAAACATGTAAATCTATAGGAAAGTAAATATGAAGTGAATGAAGAAGAAACTATCTAGGAAGTGACTAGAAATAACTGCAAATCCAACACTTGCTATCTCAGCTAGCAGTTAAAATGATTAAAAACATGAAACTTAAGTAGTATGTACCTGCGTAGTGTATTTTCTTACCTTATCACATCTGTCCTGGTATCGTGTACTACTTTCTCTCCTTCTCACATCTGTCCTAGAATTACATTTTGTAAGTTTTTTGGAACAGAGGTGAACTTTTTTATTAGCATTTCTGCCTTTTATTGAGGATAAAGACCCGGAAGAGAGATCCGGAATTAGAGAAGAACTGAATTACTAGTATTATGTCATTAGATGCAAAAGCGAATATGTGCCCTTTCAAAAACTGACAAGTTATTTCATAAGAATGAGTGTTTATAGAAGAGATGCAATAATGTATGTAATATTATGTCATTACCAAATAGTTGGGGTCTTTGCTCCAACTGTCTGTCTGCTCACTGCCTCCTCACTATGCATGTTCCTACACTGATTCATTCATCACAGTTCTAACCCCAGTTGCTCTTTTTAGGAAGAATGTAGGAAAAGTTATTTAACTTTTTGTAAAATGCTCAAAACGTGGAAAGGTCTATTCAAAAGATCATCACTGAAGTTGATGCGCACAGACAGCGCTTGCCACTAAGTATGTAATGTTTCCTCCTCAAATGAGGACTGCCTCGCAGGCATTTTGTTATTTTGTTATTCAGCATTTCTTGTCTCTATATCGACATTATAGTGGCAACATAGAAGCGTTAGCCACTGGATGGGAAGTAGCCTTTCCAAAGATCATTTCAAAGCTCCCAGCCTCATTGTGGCAAACTTTTTACATGGTAAGTGTAATGAGCTTTGTGCATAAGCATGTGGGTTTTGGGGTGGTTCCCCCTGCTCTGAGTTGTCAAGCTAGATCATCAAGGTCACTTTTTTTTTTTTCTTTTAAAAATAATCTGTAATCCTGCTTTTACGCAGCTAAAAGTTGTTAGATCAAATCTCTTTAAAAACCTACACCACAATTACAGATGTTTAAATTAGGTGGGATTTCCTTTTATTTCCCAGTGACCTACATCTCCCTGTGAATGCTGCCCTGTCTTCATGCTTAGGTTTGAATCTATTCTGTCTTCTTGTTTATTGAGTCTGTTCGATCTCTGTGTCTTGATTAGTGTCTGACTAAAGCTCCACCTCGTAAATACTTGTGTACATGAGTAATTCTATGTATCCAAGCAGTTGCTGATTTCATATGCGCGAGTAGGACTGTCTGTGTGCATAGCTGCATAGCTTCATAGAGTTGGGGGAGTTAATATGCAGCAATTTCAGCTAACAATAAATACGAGGCTCTGTTTTAGAACAATGGACCAGTGCTGGAGCATATTTTAGCTAGTTAGGGGTATTAAAAGTTTTAACTGTGTGTATGGCATTTGTGCTAGGAACCAATATGTTGGGGCAGAGCATAAGCATGGTACCTTTTTTGGGTTTTGCAGCTATCTAGAAAAAGACAGCATTTTATTTTCATACAATTGGATAGCATATTAAAGACAAAGCAAAGATGCATCAAGACTTTAGCAAAACTGAGGCTACAAGAGAAAATCATTTTTTTAAGTGGCAACTCTGAAAGCACTCCAGAGACCCCAAAAACCTTCTGTAAAAACTGTCCAAAAATTGTCGAAGAGGAAGAGTTTAAAAACAACAACCTATTTGATGCTTAATAAGTTCTTGTCAAAGTTTGGGCTCCTGCCTGAGACAAATATTGAGAGTCATTCCTGGAGTCATTTCAAAGGTATCAGAGCAGTTACACCAGCTTGCTCGTGGCCCAGAACATCTGTATGTGAGGTTTATTTGTTTTTCAATAGAACGGGTTTTATTTAGCAGCTGGTGATGCATTAACAGAAATCATATTTTTTCATTTTCTTGAATTTTTTAGTGTTTTTTGTGAATTGCCACTTGTGACTCCTAAACAATTCATAAGCTTTGGGGTGCTCCTTAATGATAGATGTGGTTACCTTGCATGTGTGCTTCTTCCCAAGGCCTGTACAGCACTGGTGTAAGGTCAGCGTTCCATGCATGAAGAATATGAACGTCTGCTGGACCGTCCTTATGCTGTGGAGCCTAGGATTTTAATGCTGCCCTGAAGCTTTCTGGCTTTCCCGTCGTTCTGGTCAAGCTTTCCTCCTTTACTTTGATCTGTGGTAATAGACTTGATTTTATTTTTCCCTGTGTTTTACAGTGGTTTAAACTTTATTGATTTGATGGTGCGACAGGGGAATATTGACAACCCTCCTAAGACACCGCTTGTTCCTGGCTTTGAATGCTCTGGGATCATAGAAGCTCTTGGAGACAGTGTGAAAGGATTTGAGGTAATATCTTCTTTATTTTCAAGGCATGACTAATCACCAATTCACTGAGTATTTTGCCCCCAGTCCCTTCTATTCAACCAGTGACAGCAGCTTCCTCCACCATGTTGAGCTCTGAAAGGACAATTTTTCCTTGCTGCTTCCCAGGTATGAAAATGAGCTCTTGAATTAGTTTCTAAAGCCACTGCTATCATCTCCTCTAAATCCTTCCTAAAAAGTCACTGCTGTGTGCATATCCTGATGACTGAATAGGAACTGGAAAACATGACTGATATGCTTTAAGAAAGTAAAAGAAATTGAGTTAAGTTGTTAAGTTTCTTTGGCCATGTTTGCTATCATTGTTGTTGCTCTGTTCCTCAAAACCCACACGCTGCTGAGTTTAATTCCAATTTTTGATCTTGAGTTACCAAGATCTGCATTAAGTATAGCGTCTTACATTTGTGTGCGTTCATGTAGTACAGATAATGGAACTCTGACTCTGGATATATGACTTATTCTGATCACTCGGGAAAAGGATCCATTTCACCTAACAGAATAGTAATACATGAAAAATAGTTAAAGTATACAAGAAAGCTTTTGTAACTGGTTGGCATTATGTACTCTTCAGTACCTCTGTTACATACAAACAGTATTCTGTCCTATCTCATGTTCCATTATTGATGTTAAACATCTCTATTCCCTCAAAACTTGCACTTTATTTCCTACAGTAGGTATAAAAATTCTCAAGTAAGAAAGAACAGCTGATTTAACGCATATCAATCCTATCTTAGCTATTTGCTGAGTCAGTCGTGTCATCAAATAATTGCATTTTCTGAATTCTTATTGTATTTTTATCTTAAGAAGGCAATTACTTAAAATATCTTTATTTAAAGTTAACATACTTTTGCTTCTTTAGAAGAGTGTCAAAATTTCTCAGTTGAGTAAAGATAATGGCCCATTCAGTTTCCAGTAGGGTCTCAGTAATGAGCTCTCCACCTTTCCCCCCTCCTGCCCTGTCTCCTCCCCACAACAAAACATAGTCTTTCAACATTTTTGTGAAAAACAGTAACTAAAGGATAGCTTTGTTATTTGAAAAAAACTCCAGTGATTCAATTGTTCAGCTCTTGTATTCGGTGTTTTATAGTTCAACTTCATACAGAAGAGTATTCTGTGGCAGTAGTATAGAAAGTCTCTGCTCTAGATTGGCATTCTTAGTTTAAAGTTCCTGCTATTTTTAAAGGCAGTCATAAGGTTATAGCATATGGTGTGTGTTTGAATGACTTTGCACCTGACTGCATGAATATACTGGATCTCTTTAAAAGTTATGTCTTAGAACTCACTGTAAAACCTGTTTGTGCTCTAGTGTACTCCCGGAAACTGAAACAAGTCAATTGAACCAATTAGCATTTTATTTTTTGCATATGGTCTACATAGCCACAGTAGTGTTTGAGTGACCTAGAAGGAGATCCAACACTCAAAAATAACTGCTCTACACAGATGTGAACCCATCAATAGGGAAATATACCATGCGGAAGAGAACATTCTGTCTGCTATTTCTGGAACATAGAAATGCTCATACACAGAAAAGGAGCACGCCGGATGCTTATCTTGTTGTTGATATACACTATCACCCCCATCCACAGTGACGGCAGGAGTGCCAAAGATTGCACCTTGCATCTTCTGGCCTTCTTTTGCTTTGTAAACCCCTGCCACTTCAAGTCCCATAAAAGTCATGGGGATTTTGTGCACTTGAAAAATTTGTCTTACTGGCTTTAGTCTGTACTGAGATAGTTTCTTGTGCCTGAGATATTGCCAGCCATTCACTGTCTTCATCTGCTGTGATTGCGTTATGGTATGACAAGTTAAGGCATTGAATGGCAGTCCATCTTGCCAGAGATGTGTAAGAAGGTACTTCACATTGAAGGAGAGCCGTGTTTTGCAATAGCAGTGTAAAATCCTATTTCTTCCCCTGTTAAAAGCAAATGTTGAATTTCTGCTGAGTTCAGGTGAAACAGGACTAATCTCTCCAGCTGTGGCGATGGTCCTCAGGAACTAAGCCCTAATCTGATATGAAGATTAAGCTCTGCATAACGTTTGTAGTAAAATGTAATTTTTATTATTGCTAAGAAAGAATCACCAAGAGGCACTTCTCTGTTCTGCTTTCTATTTGGTAATCATTTTTGTTTGTTTGCAAGGGTACAGGATATATTAACATCTTCACTGATTAATTTTACCAGAATTCAGACTTTAGGCAGTTCTCTAACAGCAAAAGAGAACTACAGAGTGGTTACCAGTAATGCACTGTTAATTTGAATGTATTTCTCAAAGGAGCAGGAATTTCAGTGAAATTGGAATGGCAGTTCTGTTCCTACATCTTCCTTCTAAAAGCTGGAAACCCTTCAGAACTGTTACCAGCACCTTAGCGTTTAGCAAACCCACAATATCCCAAAGCCAAAGTGATGACAAGTACTTGAGAGGCCAAAATGTTCCTGAGCTATAAACATTCACCTGAAGGCACAAAGTAAATGTTCTTTAGTCTTTTCCTGTGAAGTATAGTTGCAATAACCCCAAAATACTATATGTCATTTCCAAAATATTAGTGGGTAAAAGTAGAATATAAGATAGAGAACGTTGGGCAGATATGCAAATAGACAGAGGACTTCTGTTAATTTTATTTAAAATATGAAGTCCTGAAGTTTGATGCTATTCCTGCCATGTTACTTATATTGTGGTTCCGTTGAGGAACTCCTGTAATGGTTAAGAATGCTATTTTTATTGGTGTATTACAGAAAGGCCAAGAAGACTAAGAAAAGATACATAGGGGCTGTTGGGAACAAGCCACTGTCAGGAGTTTGTGAGAGTCATGCCTGAGAAGATTTTAATATATATTGGCCAAATATTGCTCACAGTGCCTCATCTAAGTTTTCCTAGTGGACCAATTTCTACTTTCATGCAAGTATTGCTTTCCAAGTCTGGTTGTGCCCCTGAAGAAACCTCAGAGCTCTAGATGTCTTGTTATTATTCTTGTCCATCTGTGGGGAGTCACAATCTCCGTTTTAAAAACCTGAAACTGCAATGCAGGCTATTATGCAAATGTATGAATTTGATGCGTCTGGACCTCTGAAAGGTTCCTAGGAGCAAACAAATGTATATAATAACATAAATCTTTATTTCTCCATAAAGAAATACCATATCATTGGTACATATTCTTTATAGAAATTGAGTAGGCAAAATTTGCATTAGAAGAGCATATTTCATTGCCCTTTTAAATCCTGGCAAATTGACTTTGTAGGCTTAAAGTGCCTCAGAATCCAAGGATACATTCTGATATTTAAGGGGGCATATTCAAAATTGCAGGTTCAAATTCTACTCTGTCACATGACTATGGAAATGACAATTCTTATGGAAATGTATTGGTAGAATCACTGTTATTAGAATAATAAAACTAGAGAAGGTACAGATCATGTTAGCTTCCACGTGAATGGTTCTTGAACTCTTTCATGTTATGCTCCGTCTAGCAGAGTGCAAGCTTCCCCTTCCCAATCCACAGAGGGGGGGAAAAAAAAAAGAAGCTCATAAATTGGTGTGATGACTGAGAAAGCAAAGGGAAAATATGTCTTAGATGTAATGGTTTGCTTATACCGTGTACCTTATCAATATCACTGTAACTTTTGTTTTCTGTAAGCAGAATTTCAGTTATTGGTAGGAATTTGGTTTTCATTGTTTAGAGCCCCAATAGTAATTTAGAACCTCTACTAGAAAAAGATGACTAGTGCTAGTAATCCTGGAAGACTTCGTCATCAGAGAAGCAACATATCAAAGAAGCAGAGGTGGTTTTAATTGTGTTTGGATATTCTTGTTTTTAAGTTCAGCTTTTTAAATAAATACAATTGAAAAATGGCACAAGTCTGAAGCTGTGCAGCTTAACTACTATTTCATCAAAGGTGTAGAGCACCATTATCTTCACAATCGGTCTGTCATCTGCAGCTCAAACAGGAGAGGCGCATGTTTTACTACTTGTGTTCTACAGTTGCAGTTGCAGCTGTATCATCAACATTTTTTTCCTTCTGTGTAGATTGGAGACAGAGTCATGGCTTTTGTAAACTACAATGCATGGGCTGAAGTTGTATGTACCCCAGTAGAATTTGTCTACAAGATCCCAGATGACATGAGTTTTTCTGAAGCTGCTGCATTTCCTATGAACTTTGTAACTGCCTACATGATGCTCTTTGAAGTTGCTAACCTAAGAGAAGGCATGTCTGTGCTGGTTCACTCTGCAGGAGGTGGAGTGGTAAGTTGGACCTCTTCCTTTCTTGTCATTCACATTGCTGAAGCAGTCTGATACATCTTAATTCCTCAAATGGGCCAAATCCTGCAGTTTGATTTGGTATCAGACTTCCCCATGTGAAGCATTGCATGTGAAGGAACTATATCTGTTTTCCCATCAAAGCACTAGCGTGAATGGTTGGCAGAAGCTTTTGGTGAAGTAAAAATACCCTGACGATAAACTCTACCCAAACCCACCTCCAAAAACCAGTAGCAGGTAGTGAGAGATCAAGAAGCAAGCGTGACCTTAAACACTGTATTCCTAAATTAATGGCCTTGGTGGTACTTTGATATCAAAGAAGGCTGTAATCAAAGGAATAAATAATATTTGGCTCCTTGTACAAGGTATTTGTAGTTAACCATAGTCCTACTTGCAGTAAATGGCCCTCCTGTAATACTCCTGCAAATACTGTGTATGTGATGTTTTCTCTGTGGAAGACAATGTGCTTTTTTCCTTTGTTGTGGAGGGGTTGAAAGCAGTGTAAAATGTTGTCATGCAAACCTGAGGAAAATATGCAAATGCAGAATTTGAGTCAGCAGTGGCTGCTGTGTGTCATAGTTTGGATCATCAGTAAAGATGCATTGCATGGTAAAGCAACAATTGGATGGATTTGGTGGAATACCAAGCAGACCAACCAGGAAATAAGAAGCTGGCAGTTTGTATTACCAATTACTTGAATTATCTTTCAGAAAATATCCCTCTCTTGGAAAATATTTAAGCTTGTGCAAAAAGTTAAGATATTGACAGAGAAGTTTGTTTACTTTTTAAATTATGCAGTCTTTTTTCATAGGACAGATTTGTGACCTGAGAAGAGTAGCAGATCTCAACGTTTTAAATTACAGTACCTCTTCTGTTTTCCTGTTAATGTGCCTTATTTATGCTAATTTAATATTCTGTTGACTACTGAAGTCTGGCAGGCAGCCCCAAACACCTTATCCCTAATTTTATGCCCTTAGACCTTCTTTTCAGGGCCTCATATGAAAGAAGGCTGTAATCCAAGGAATAAATTCATCAGTTCCCCACACCAAGTATTTTTAGCTAACGATAATCCTACTTGCAGTAAATGGTCCTCTTGGAATACTTCTGGAAATGAATGGAATTTATAATCTTATTATGCTTCAGCACAGTACAACCTAGAGCATTATGGCTGACTTTATTGTTCTTAAATATTAAATCTTTTCATGTGGAATTTAGGACCGTTAAAGCAACACGGGGCCGCATGTTCAGGGGGCCTAAGGCCCAGCTTTACTTGCAAGGCCCCTGGCCAAATTGATACAAGGAGACCCAGGCCTCAGCATAAAAAAATAGCAAAATGCCCCCTGCAAATCCCAGGGCATATGTATATATCTGGTGAAAAGTGACTCCTTGTCTTTTTCAGATACCAGTGTCCTTGCTGCATTTCTTGAGTTCTCTCTCTCTTCCTTTCTCTAATCTTGTTCACCTCTGTTAGTTCTTCCTCCTCTTCCCTTATACACCATTAACCCTCTGTCTCCTCTTACACAGTCTCCTTCACTAGTGTCCAGCATCTTTGCTGGGCTATTCCTGTCAGGAACTGCTCTTTCCTCTCTTATCACAGATACTCAGTGAGCATCCTTCCACTGGTCCTCTGCTGTGATTGTTTGTGCGTCTCCTCTGAGAGAAACTACAGGAAGGACAGATCCTGGTTGGCTGCCAGAACAAGGACAGATCAGATCTATCACCTGATAAGTAGTTAAATAAACCAGAATTTCCATTGTAAAGACCAGAGATCAGGGAAGAACTGCCGAGCTGGGCAGTCCCTGATATGGGTCTGTGTAGTATCCAGGAGGGAGTTATGCATCAGAAGGACACAGGGCTTGCTAGCCAGCCAGACAGGATGTTGATTGCTGTGCCACAGGGGAGAGTGCCTCTTGCAGCCAGTGGTTCTTGGTAAGGGAAGAATATATATAACTAAAACCAGAAAGGAAATAATTTTCCCATTGCTTGATAGGTCTAATGGATAAAATTTCACTCTGGAATCACAGGGAGGTTTTTCCCCTCTGCTAACTGGCCGTCAAGATTTCAGAGGAAATGTGCTGAAGGCCTGGGTCTATATTACTCTTCCTACTACTCTAATACTCGATTAATCCACTGAAAAATTTAAGAACCTTAACTGAATAAATTATTCTCATAAAGTTCTTTGCTAATAATACAGAAAACGAAAACCACTATGGAGAAAGATGCTTTTTGTGCTGTTGCTTTAGCAGATGCAAGGCCTATTAACATTTTCAGCAAGTGGGAAACCTGTCTAGTTTGCTTCTAAATGTCACAGAAATTCCAGAATATTTTAATGAGACAATAGGCTCCCTGTGGGACTAGAAGTTTGCGATTGTTCCTTTCTCACTTTGCAAGATCATTATTATAGCTGCTTCAGGAATTTTATGGGAAAGAACTTGTTGCTTCAAACATTTTTGTGAGGTTCTTTGTTCTGACTCCTCAGTCTCCTTTAGGAGGATCCTGCAGCATTTTCAGAAATTTCATTCAGGGAAAATTCTCAAAGATCTTCACTTATCTATTGCCTCTGTTTGTTTAAATGGGCTTATTTTTGTTTATAGATGTTTTTGGTAGCAAGGAAACTATAGCAATTGTCTTCCCATCTGTGTCTGGGATATGATTAGTATATGATGGCATCCTTTAATGTCTGACAGGATGCTTTAGATAAGTCAGGTTACTTATTTCCAGAAGTTCCAGGGAACATCAGAAGAAGATGTGGAGAAAAAAGTACCAAGACAGAATTATCTTGAAAAAACTCTCACATGCCCATTTCTTTCAGTAACAGACCTGAATGCTGTTCCACACACCAGATCAGTACCCTCTCTGCCTCCCACCCTTCTAAAAAAAAAGTCAGAGCACCATTCAATGATCTTCTCTGTTCAGTGTGACTAGTTGTACAGAAGTTCCTTGTCTCTCTGAAGACAGAGAAAGAGAAAAGATGGATGCTCACAGTTTCTGCTTGGTATGTTGTAGCCTTCCCCCTGAAGAGAAGGACCTGTTGCAGTGGTTAAAAGGGGGCTTTGAAAGGAGAGATTACTTTTGCTTTTCTTTCCAAGGGTTAGGTTGTTGATTTTGATTTGTTTCGGACAGGGGCTGCTTGTTGGGGTGGATTGGTTTGTTTGTTCGTTTCCTATCTCTTTTTTTTCTCTTGGAAGGTTCAGGGAGGTTCAGAGGAGGTGAGGGGAGGTTCAGAAATACTGACTTTGCTGTCAATCTGGACACTGAAGTAGACTGGAGAAATTTTAGGGGCCTTCTGGGAAAACATGGTACTGGCTCACAATTGAATTACATTAATCATTCAGACTTCAATGAGAAATTAATATCTTGCAGAACGTTCTGTTATCATTGTGTTAACTGTTATGGATCAAGATCACCAAGGACGAGGCTTGTCACACTCTTTTTCAGTCCTCTGGCAGGACATTTATTCTTCTGCTTAAGTAGAGCATTTTGCTGAGTAGCAGGGCAGTTCTGTAATTACAGGGGATATAATTATATAATTAGAATTTAAATGATTAAAGCTAGGGAAACATTTAGATGCTTTGCTGAACTGATTGCTAAAATAGGGAGAAAGTCAGCTAACACTGAACTTCAAAAACTCCTTGTTATGCACACACAGAATTATTGCCAAGAAATATGAGGAGTTTGCAAGAACACACAGCTTACTGCAGGATATATTCCCAAACTGGAAATTGTTTTGTCCTACCTCTAAAACATTGTAATTAATGTTTGAGATAACTGTAAGTCAATGGTTAGTACAGAGTAACTCCCTCTACAAATGTTTTCCCATGTGCTTTTTCAAGGGAAGCTAAGTGGCAACTGACTGAAGAAAATATGCTGAGAAAACTCATGAGGCCAACTGGGACTGATCTGTTATATGAATCAATTAGTTCTTCAGAATGAAGACTCTATGTCAGTGCATTCAGCGCAAGTCACAGCACAGGCTTCTGTGAGGTTACATTAGTAATTTTGAGAATAACTTTATAAACTTGTAAGCTGTATTCTGGACTACTTTAATTAGTGTAAATACAGGACTGCTGTACTTAAAGCAAAACAAAAACCCTGTGCGCTCTTCTACCTTTATTAAAGTCCAGTCTCTGTCTCTATGATATCTACCTGGAACATGAATTCTTTCAAGGATTTAGACTTGAGAGAGAGATGTTATGCCTTTCTGCGTATTTATTTGCTTTTTAGATGCTTTCCATTCTGAATATTTATATCATAAAACTTTGCTCGTCTTACCAAAGCTTTGTAAAACATACAGTTTTATCACTTTAGCCCCAGACACAAGGCCAGAATTATTAGCTGGTTCTTTAGCATTTCAGTCTTACAGAAGCGAAAATTAAGCTGCCTTTCCTGCAGAAGCATTGATTGCTGTCCTGAAGCTGTGATCTGACCTTCCCTTTCAGGTTCAGCATCAGGGGAAGCACAAGCAGAGTGGGTAAGTTACAGATGCAATCATCTCACATGTTTGAATTTGAAGGATAAATCTGACTTGGCAGGTCATGCTGGCAGGATTGGTTACCATTTGGCAGGAACCCTCATTTTTATTGCGTCTCCCTTGCATAAATTGCAAATATTTGAGGCTAAGTGCTTCAAACTGAATTACCAAAGTGGTGATATTTCATATGATACAGAACTGGCACACCTTAGTAAATCTAGTTATCTGTTATCACGGGCAACATATAGAAACCCTTTCCTTAGAATTATCAAATTTCTCCTTAAAAATATCTTTTTGTGTTTTCCCTTCAGATTTTCTCTGCTTTATCGTGGTTGGTGAGAAACCTTTCTTAATTTCCAGACTTATTTGTGGCTACTTAATATATCTTTGTTCTTCTGCTGGTGTTGCCCATTAATTTAAAGCAGCTATTCTCTCCTCTTCAGGGCAAATGCCTTTAGATCCCTTGGGCAGTATTTGTATATGGTTAAACAAAACAAGCTCAGAATCAAATCTC